AAAGTAAATTTTATTTTCAATATTATTGTTACGTAAAATAATTTAATTAAATAACTAATAAAATTTAATATTTTTTATATAAATTAACGATAATAAATATAATAAATAAACCCTTAACATATATACCTATATATGTAAAAAATTCATTAAAAATGTAGGGTGTTTTTTTTTTTTTTTACGAATGGATCCCACCATTTCCCGCCAAACTACTCCATCCTCCATAGTCACCCAACTAACTGCCCATAACCACCAGAAACTCCCAAACCTTTGGAGACGGGCCCATCATCTTCCTTATCCATTTCTCTTCTCCTCCGTCTCTCCTTCCTCCCGTTTCCTCACCCGGCAAAGAAATACTTCCACGTGGCGTCATCTCCGCCACCCTGCGCTCCACCTTCCAATCCCCCACCAGCAAATACTCCATCTCCGACAGGGACCTCGAGTCCCGAGGCTTCTTCCTCCGACGAACCATTTCCGGCCTCAATTTCGATCACCTCAACTCTGTCTTCGTGGCCGTTGGGTTCCCGAGACGGGACCCAGAGAAGATCAAGCTGGCGCTGGAACACACCGACTCCCTGCTATGGGTGGAGTACAGCAAGACCCAGAAGCCAGTGGCGTTTGCCAGAGCAACTGGGGACGGCGTTTTCAATGTCATAATATGGGATGAGGTGGTGGACCCGTCGTTCCAGGGGATGGGGCTCGGAAAGGCTGTGATGGAGCGCCTGATAGAGGAGCTTTTACAGAAAGGAATTTGCAACGTCGCCCTATATTCGGAGCCACGTGTTCTCGGGTTTTACAGGCCTCTCGGATTCGTGGCCGATCCAGATGGAATCCGAGGAATGGTCTACTCCAGAAAACAGAGAAAGAAGAAGTAAACCGAAGAAAATTTTCTTTTATTTTGAATTTCTGTTTGCCTCAACTTCTTTAGTTGAAGAGGAAACTTGAGAATTATGCTGGGATGGGATACTGTTTTCCAGAGACCATATTTGAAAATACTAGCTTAATTACAAAGAAATTGCTTTTGATTATAAGTGCAGTGCAATTTGTTACAGAAACTTATATTGTTGAATACTGGATGATTTCCTACATTCTCAATTCAGATACATCCCGTTGTGTCAATGCAACAGCTTAATCAATCTGGTGTTACACAAGCTTAGGAAACTGCAAACTGCACTCTCTAACTTGCTACTTCTTAACTCCTGTTGGCACATAAGACAAACATACAGAAGCTAAAAA